AATCAATGTTCTCGCTCATTGATGTTTCTATCTCTCTCTTCCTCTCCCTTCCTCTCTCTCTAAAAATAAAAAAAAAATAAAATAAAATAAAAGGGCATCTGTCCCTGTTTCCCTGAATTAGGTAGAGCCCAATGACCCAGTTGAATCCCTAAGAGCAACCTTACCTCATTACATAAACTTTCGGTAATCTAAAATAATGGGTTTCCAATAGGTGTGTGTGCACATGTGTGTGTGCATGTTCGTGCATGTGTGTACACGTGTGTGTGCGTGTGTGTGTGTGTGTGTGTGTTTCTAGTCATTTGGGTAAAAACAGGAATGTTATACTTAGATGGTAATGAATGTGAAATGAGCACTTAACATCTCACATGGCACAAATGGCTAAATGGAAGACCTGCGCCTCGTTATGGAACAGGTTCAGTGAGAGCTACGGTAATAGTGTTTGGTTAATGTCAGCTCAGCATTAAATTTACATTATACTCTTGAGAAGTTCCATTTAATAACCAAGGTGGTATTGGCCTCAGATAGACTTTTTGATTTTGCACTTGAACTAACACTACAGCCTGCTGATGAGGGATTATGTGAGCTTGGAGATTTGGTGTGCCAAAGGATTCTTTGTGTGAATAACAATTCTGGTCAGTGAAGGTCAGTTTCTCTACTCAAGTGAGAACAATATTATTTCCCTTCTAATCAGACACACACGGTGTGGAAAGAATCCAAGAGCCCCACACAAGTGTTGTGCAACTATAGTCTGGTCAGCATCCTGTACAAGAAATGAATAACCCTTAATAAAGGCTCGAATGACCCTGGCTTTTTTCTGTCCTCTAATCAGTTGCTTTAATGGTATGCCTTCGGTGCTTCGCAGGGAAAATGCTATAGAGTTCTCTTCATCTTGCTTCAGGGAGGGCTGGACTGGTCCAATCAGCCCTCCCCGCATGTCATACTTGATTCTGCCATAAAGACCACTGAAGTCAGCCTCAGTTTTGTTGAAAAGCCAGCATTCCCTTTCTCTCTCAGGGCAATGTGCTTCTGAGTGGCAGTGGACTTGAAACAGCAGGAGTCCCCATCTTTATTGTTCGGCTGTGCAATTTGTTTTAGGCACATTCTAAATCCAGTCTTACGCCTTCTGCTTTTTTTTTTTTTTGTCTGTGACAAAGGTGACCCAATTGTGCTTCTTTGATATTATGAACACAGCCACAGCTCTTTTTGCTCATATCACAGAGGCATGTAACAAAATACAAAGGATAAAATTGTGTCTCTGTGTAGTAAGGACACATATTTCATGACTAAATTCAATGACATAATCAAAAAGGTGTTGTCCTCTCACAGTCATGAGCTAGCTGGCAGAGACCGCCTTTCGGAATACTTTTTATAGTGCTGAGATACTGTTCAAAAATAATAGAACTAATGAAAATGTCACATTGACAGAGTAGCCCATATTAAGATTTTACTTCAAGAAGGCACGGTTAGGTGAATGTGACTTTGACAGCAATGGTGTTAGGGTTTGCAGAGTTAATAAAATATTCTAAGGAGAATATTATAGAGTTCCAACTGAAGTGTATAGTTTCCTTCATTTTGCTTTTTATTTCTAGAACTAAGTGGACTCCAATGATCAAAATTTTAGCCTTAATGCCTTATTTCTGCCTAGGAGAGGTATACAGAGCTTTTCCTTTGTATCAGACCCTAGCATAGTTTTATTATATAAAGGAATAAGTTAATTTACCAATGCATGTGTGTTCGGGCATTTGAAAAATATGAAGGTAGTAAAATTATATAATGCTAATACATTTCTCAGTAAACAAATATGCAACGTTTAAGTGATTAAATACATACAGAAAAGTAGAAATGGAGACAGTGGGAAAAATAACTTATTTTAAACAGAATAGTTGTAGCATCACTGAAGACTTTACTTAGCTCTCTGGGTTGGTTGAACACATATTCCAACAAATCTGGAACAAATAGCAACTCTGTTTACTATGACAGGCTTTATTTTCTTAGGCGCAACCAAGACCACATGCTGTGTTTTGTCATGTTGGAAATGCTGAAGCAGATTTCCATTGTGAATGTGAATGTTTCTTTAAAGCCTTAACACCTCAGTCTCAACTCAGCTAGGTAAAAGCAATACATTTTCTTTTCCTTACCTGCTAGACTTCAATAAATCTTAAATCCCTCCACTAAAACCATGTCGCTGCAGTTTAATGTCCTGGTTGTAGTTTCACGTCACTGTCATAGATGGCCTGATCCTTCATATTTCCAAGGGTGGTTTTTCGGCCTTTACTCTAACAAAACTAATTTTTAATTGTCTTTATCCTCCAGATGTACAGCTTCCTTCACTCCATGCCCTACAAGGGGGTGCTACTGTTGGCTTAGAGCCTTCCCAAAACCAATGATGCAGAAATGTCTACCTAGTGTAAACATCTCCAACATTCTATTTTCCTCCTTATTTATATCCTGTGTGGACAAAGCCATGTTTAGCAGCTGTTGTCTATAACCACATTCACCTTTTGGAGTTGTTGATTCTGCTGAATTTGTGGAAAATGTGTATATCAGGGCTTAACACTTAGTTGAGAGTGGCACAGCATAGCGTGAAACTATTTATTTGTTTATTTATTTATTTATTTATTTATTATTATTTTTTATCCTCACCCAAGGACATTTTTCCATTTTTTGTTCAGATAGAGTGGGAGGGAGAGAGAGAAAGAGAAACATCGACGTCAGAGAGACACATCGAGTGGCTGCCATTCACACAACCCAACCAGGGCTGGGGACAAACTGCAACCAAGGTACGTGCCCTTAGCGGGTCTCTCTGGGCCGCAGGCCGACGCTCTAACCGCTGAGCCAAACCAGCCAGGGCAGCATGAAACTATTAAGATCCACTTTCCACCTTGGAGTAATGCTGGGTAGCAGATCCTTGCAAAACTCTCATCACATTCCTTTTTTATGCGTTATCATGATCATTTAGTTAGCAGGGAGATTTAGGGAAACGTAGAAGACTAAGGGTTTAAGAGTGAAGGAAAGATTATTGTTTTCACGGATTAGGATAAAATCTTTTTGTCCTATGGTCTTTATTCTAGTTTGATATGGATTGGTCTCTTTCTCTAAAGTCATAACATTCTGTCTGAAATGAGTTTAAGGCTAATCTTACACTGAGAAGCCTGGTCACCAGTAGGGATTAGCATGTCATTAATACGGTCCTGCTGTGAAGCCGAGCAGGGGGAGATTCATCCCAGGTGGTGGTGAGGGGGTTAGAACCAGCTGCAGCATCCTCACCTACAATTTTGTGGATACCCTGAGGAGCACTAACCTTTAGTAATGATATGAGATCTGCCCAAATAGTGACTGCTGTGCACACTGAATGTCTGATCAGGGTTAGAGGTGAGACTAAGGAGGAGGAGAAAAGCTCACTTCAATACTGTTCACATTCAAACAAGTATGTGAACACCTACTATGTGCCAGGTTAATTGTAGCTGCTTGGGGTTACTGGATGAACAAGTACCTGCTCTTATGGAACTCACATTATAGTGGAAGGGTCATATAGATAAAGAAATAATTTGAAGTATTGAAGGATAAAAGAAAACTATAACAAGGTATGAAGAAAGTGGTCGGCTGACCAATAGTAATTGTAAGATAGTCACTTAGGCATCTCTAAGGAGGTGACATGAGCCCAGGTCAAACGAGGAAAAGCTACGTAAGGGCCTTTCATATAGAGGGACAGTGAGTGTAGAGATCCTGGTGAAGAAATGATCTTTGGTTGTTCAAGGAACAGAAAGAGAATCTTTGTGGCTGCAACTTGCAAAGATATGGGAGGAGAAGGTGATAGATGAAGTTGGAGAGATAAAGTAAAGCGAAGTTACGAAAATTCCAGGAATGAATTCATCTTGGGAATATTGATAAATGATAAAGTCAACAGTTGCGTATGTCTTTTAAAAGTGAAATAACCATAGCCCTGTCCAGTTTGGCTCAGCAGTTAGAATGTTGGCCCACAGACCAATGAGTCACAGGTTCAATTCCAGTCAAGGGCACATATACTTGGTTGCAGTTTGTCCCCAGCCCTGGTTGGGGTTGTGCGGGAGGCAACCAGTGGATATGTCTCTCTCACATCAGTGTTTCTCTCTCTCTCCCTCCCTCCCACTCTATCTGAAGATAAATAGAAAAATATCCTCAGGTGAGGATTAAAAAAAAAGTGAAATGACCATATTTGTAGTTTTACAGACAAAGCTGGAGGCTCAGTAGATTAACTAGGAATAAGTAAAGTATCTTATATCAAACTAGCAGGATGAGGGAGCTTCAAAGCCTAGTGTTTTGCTGCTATTATCAAACTGTTCTTATTGAAATATCTCCAACAGAAACACTAGCACATTTGTGTATGTTTTCAAAAATGATGGCAATCTCCTTTTAAAATATTTCTTACGGAGTTGAGTAAATTTTTGTTTCTGACAAGTTAACTTGGTCTAATTCTCCCCTATAGTTCCTCTAAGTACAGCTCTGTGTTTCCCATATCTTGCAAGAGCGGGGCATAGATCTCATGAGTGATAGCCTTGACCTTCTGCTGGGGACCTGTGCTGCTTACTTATTATTTCCTTTATGTGATGGTGGTTGGGTATTAGCAAATGCTTGCTAATAAGATAAGCTATCTCAGAGAATAAAAGCCATCTCAGGAAACATCCACATTTTGGGGGATCATCAGGATGCTGGTGAAATTTAATTTTTAATTCAAATGAACAAACCCATGCAGTTTGCTTACAGAAACCAAGTGATTAGTTGCACAGCTAATCCACAAATATGGATTTTCCCCCCATTCTAAATTCAGTTTGTTTAGAATACAGTGAAGATGGAGGCATGGTGGAGACCTACCAAACATCTGGGCCTCTCTGACACTCCTGGACTTCCAAGAAGCAATTCTACGTCTTCAAATTACATCACAGTCTTGCAACTTACTGTTCCTATTATAAAGAGCAAAGTCTAGGGCACGTAAGTTTACTGGTCTGCTTTTCTTTTGGCAGGATTAAGATGCTCTGGTTTCAAGGAAATAGCATGCAACTTGCCAAGTACTCCTTTCAACTCTTCCTGAGAAATCTCTCGGCCTCTAAGACTGTTCTGCCTGTGCTGACCTTATTCACAAAGGTACAGAGTGAAAAAGTATTACTACTTAAAAACATAAAGTGTTGAAATTGTTGGGTGAAGAAAATAAGGAAGAAAAACATTGGAAGGAAAGAAAAGATATAAACATCTTCAGACCTGTTCCACAGTTCTTTAGTTTTAGTAACAACAGTAGTAACTTTGTTTCCTCCCAATACCTCATTGTCCCACAATTAGAGGGTAAATTAATATATTCAATAGTCATCTGACATCCCTACATTGAAAGAGAGAACTATCAGTTTATAATATGATGTTTATAAATGTATCACTTAGATACTTAATCAGTTCTTGTTCTTTGTGATAGTTATGTTCTATAAAGCCACCACAAACACTGAATTAACAAATACTGAACCATTGCTCCTAGGGAAAATATAGGGTTAGATTCCTATGAGTTTCTTTCTGGTAACCGTTTTTTCAGTCCATCAGTGCATAACCTTGTTTTATATGTGTTTCTGTTTGAAGACACCTTATTTAATATATGTTTCTGGTTCATTAATATTGAACTCACATCCAATAGCAGTATAACTATGTCTGAACTAAGCTCATCTACTACAATATTTTCTCCGTAAAGTACATCACAGCCTTCTTGTGCTTAGAAACATTAGACAGCACTTCAGCATTATCAACAACAGAAAGCACAAAAAAGCAAAAACAAACAAACAAAACAAAAAAAAACCCCATGGCACTAAACAGATCATGAGAGGGACACTTGTTTACAAGTCTGAGCTGAAACAAGGAGGCAGAGCATCATCTTGTCCCACCTCAGCTGGGAAAGTGCACTTTGGGTGACTGAACATTTTCTCTGTTCTGTGTACATGCATGTCTGTGAATAACTGCAAAAGGTCCACGGGTATTGATCTTGGGGTTACAAATATGTTTTAGTGAACAGGTAAACTTGCAAATCTAGAATCCACAAATAATGAGGATTGACTGTGTTTTCTAACCCTAACACTAGTATTAAGGTATAAAGTAGTTTACGTTTTTTAAGAACGTTTCCTCCTGACATTTATAATACAAGCATTACTGATTTTCTTTTGCTAGGTAACATTGCTTTGTGTGATTTATAATCAAAAAAAGAAAGTGCAGGATAGTAGAATTAACTTTAGTGAATAATACTGCAGTTCAAACACAAAAAGTCTTGTGTTTAATAGATTTTTCATATTTCAGGTATTTTAACTATTTAAAAATATCTGATGGTTATCTAACAACAAAGCTTTAAAAGTTTTAAAAATTATTTTCTCATTGAAAATACTCAGAACTACTTTTAATATCTATAAGTATATATTGTACTGTTGGAAATGATGGAACAAAACTATTTCATCATCTGTGTCTACATATGAGAAATGCATGTGAGAATTAACCACAAAAATAAAATAATCCCTTAAGGCAAATGGTGCTCACTCAGCCTAACAATTCTGCACTATTTTTCAGTTTGAGCAACAGCCAAGTTAGCTGAAAACATTTGCAAAAAACACACACACTAATCTTCTATTCAGTTTAAATTTTGTATTGAACCCTTTATATGAGTCATTAGATATATGATATCACTCCCACCTTCAGGACTTCACAGTCCAGAGAAAGAAAAAGCACAGTATTAGGTCTCTTTCAGTTATAAATAATAGAAAGTACTTCCCAGACTGGCTTAAACAAAATAACAAAAACAGGATTTTATGGCTTGGTCTGGTTTCAGGAATAGCTTCATTCTAAAACCAAGCATGTTGCCAAACTCTTCAGCTCCTCATCATTTGGGTTAAATATGTCTGCCTCTGCCTCTCCCCATGAATGACTACAGTCCAGATCTCACAGCTTGGGTATCCACAGAAACTCCAGCAGAAGCCTCATAGCTACCTATTGGCTCTGATCAGCCTGATCCCTGAGCCATTCCATTTAGCCAAAAGGATAGGACGTGCTGATTGTCTCAGGCTAAGTCAAGTGTTCACCCTTGTTCAGGGACGGAGTCAATCACATGCTAAGAGCAGTTCCTATGAGGCAAAATCCCAGCATTCTTGCTACAAGAAAGGGGAGTGGGTGGTAGACAACCAACCCAACAGTTGTTCACTGCCATTCAGGGCTGGAGTAAATAAGTGCTCTACTGGTGCCATGGCAAATCCTAGACAAGGATGTTTGAATGGTCCAGACCACTGGGTCTTACCCTTTTTCAGTTCATAGACCTCTTTAAAATTTAATGAACTTGCCCTGCCGATGTGGGCCAGTGGTTGAGCATCGACCCATGTAGGAAGAGGTCGCTGGTTTAATTTCAGGGCACATGTCTAGGTTATGGCCCCGATCCTCAGTGGGGGTCATGCAGGAGGCAGCCAATCGATGTTCTCTCTCATCGATGTTTCTATCTCTCCTTACTTCTCCTTTCATCTCTCTCTAAAATCAATAAGAAAAAAAATGTGATACACTTTTCCTCATGAACATACACACACACACACACACACGATAATTTGCACAGATTTCCATGGACACCAGCTTTTAAAAACAAAACGAGCCCTGGCCAGTTTGGTTCAGTGGTTAGAGTGTCGGCCTGCGGTCCAGAGAGACCCCGGTTCGGTTCCCGCTGGGGGCGCGTACCTCGGTTGCAATTTGTCCCAGGCCCTGGTTGTGTTATGCGGGTGGCAGCCACTCGATGTGTACCTTTCACATCAATGTTTCTCTCTCTCTCTCTCTTCCTCTCTCCCCCTCCCACTCTATCTGAACAAAAAATGGGAAAATGTCCTTCAGTGAGGATTAAAAAAAAAACGAAACAAAAAACGGGTCTAGGTTCTATTAAAATTTTTTATAATAAAAACAAAATGTTGGTAATTTGGTAGTTCTGCAACTTAGCTTGTTCTTGTTTTGATTTTAAGAATTTCAGCCCTGGCCAGTTTTGCTCAGTGGTTAGAGCATTGGCCTGCGGACTGGAGAGTCCTGGGTTCAGTTCCCACTAAGGGCATGTACCTCGGTGGTAGTTTGTCCCCTGCCCCAGTTGGGGTCGTGTGGGTGGCAACCACTCGATGTGTCTCTCTCACATTGATGTTTCTGTCCCTCTCTTCCTCCCACTGTATCTGAAGATAAATGCAAAAATGTCTTCACTCTATCTGAAGATAAATGCAAAAATGTCCTCGGGTGAGGATAAAAAAAAAAAAAAAAAAAAGAACTTCTGTTGACTTTTTGAAACTTTCTCAGAAAATGTCAACATGATTATCTCAACACATCACATACCATCCATAATCTGTTTATTGTTGATGCTAATAAGTAACAACATGACGCTAATTCTCTGAACCAGGAAATTAGGGCAAAAAAAAACCCTTCTGAGGAAAACCGACTTCAGCTGATGTGGGTTCTTATTTCAAAATAAGCTGTAAGTCTCAGGACCCCACCCTATTTGAAAAGACAAAAGTCTGCCTACATAGAAGACTTTTTTTATTTCAAAGTTATTGTCACTTATAGTGAGTTTGGGGGAAAATAAAATAAAAATAGCTTTCCTAGTCCTTGCATCAACAGCAGACCACATTTCATAACTATTTTCAATGATTAAGCAAAAAATACCAAAACCAAAAAACCCTGAAGGACAAAAAAGGTGGCTGCTGAAGTGTGTATGGTTTATTGTTGTACATTCACAATCTTGCAGGAGCTGAGAAGTTAACAAGTATAAAGAGACCCTGTTCACTGCTGAGGCCTGTACAGTAGAGTATAAATTTTTATGTACTGTACTATACACTTGATACTGTACACACACTATAATAATAATGTCTCAGTGGAAACAAGAGAAAAACCCTGGGTCAGCAGCAAGCTTTTTAAAATGTGGTTTGCTGTTTGTTTGTTTGTTGTTGTGGTACGTGCCCCTAGCAGGAATCAAACCCGGGACTCTCTGGTCCACAGGCCGACGCTCCAACCGCTAAGCCAAACTGTCCAGGGCTAAAATGTTTTTAATTAAATTTTAAGGAGGAAAAAAAACAGGCTTTTCCCCCAGAGGATCATGTATGAACCTACAACACCCTGACCTCTCTCTTATTCCTCCTTGGTTATATGAATAAACAACCCTGAGATCCCCGCTTAGAACTGGTTTTAACCTTTAGCTGCCGCGCTGCGCTGCCACGTGTGTATATATGACACTGTACATTGCACGTACCCTTGGACCCCACAGTTTGGTCCCCCTCCCAGCTACCCCTTCATAGTATGACAAGTTAACAAGTGGTAACCTGCACAAAGAGAGACACAGCTATTTAATCTCTCGCCAGACATCTCCCCTCTTGGTGCCATGCTATACAGGTCTCTGTAAGAAGTCTTTGCTATCTCAGCAGCCAGTCAACTTAAAATTTGGTAGGGTGGGGGTGGGGGGTGGGCGGGTTGTTTTCTTTCTAATGGAGGTATGAAAAAGTTCTAGGTTCCATTGAATTTCATGATGAAGAAGCACAATTGAAATTTTTTCAGTGATAAAATCTGCATATTTGTATTTCAAACAGTGTAGCCAGAACTTGATGTAAGTTCCTCCTTTTCGGCTTAATGAATATTATTTATTCAGTGTGAAATCTTTATATTATATGTTCCTCATGTTAAGAATAAATGTACATTAAATCTTAGTTAAAAAAAAAAAAAAAGCTGTGAGTTAAGCTGGAGGAAGGGCCTTTCTTTTACATAACAGCTCATTTCTCCCTGTCATGTTTATAAGCATTAGTAATGTTGAGTCTATTCTGAGCTCATGCAAGAGAACCTGTAGCTAGTTCCTGTTCATAGAATGAAGGCCCGAGGAGCCTTTAAAATCTGCCAATGATCCATAGCATTCTCGACAGATACACTACGTGGTTAGAGTACAAACAACAACAGGCACTAAAACATGCTTGCCTCTCAGGTGGAGAATTCTCTGGGAAACCTATTGCTGGCACTTGTAATGAGAAAGACAAGTCATTAAAGAGTTGGTACATTCATCATGTGAAATATTGTTCCCTTTTTTAAGATGGGGCCCTCACTATCTAACTCCATCCCAGTGAGTTTATTCCTCTGGATTGATTAGGGGAAATAGGCTGGCAAAGCTCAGTACTCCTCATTCAAAACAGACTTTTAGCCATTCTGGTGATGACAACCAGGCCAAGAAGGTGCTCCTTGGAGTATAGATCTGTAAAAAGAAATCTTCCCATCTGGCTGGTGTGGCTCAGTGGTTGAGCGTCGATCCATGCACCAAGAAGTCACCAGTTCAATTCCCAGTGAGGACACATGCCCAGGTTGTGGGCCTGATCCCCAGTGGGTGGCATGCAGGAAATGGCCAATTGATGTTCTCTCTCATTGATGTTTCTAGCTCTCTCTCCTTTTCACTTCCTCTCTATCAAAAATCAATAAAGGAAAAATAAAAATCTTCCCAGATACCATTTATATGAAGCCAATAACAAAAATGTAAGCATCTAAATGTGTATGTGTGCATGTACAAGTATATATCTATCTATAATACTTATATAATAAATTTAGATACATTTGTTATGTACAAATATGTGTGTGTGTGTGTATACACACGAATGTATAACAAATGTAAGCATCTACATTTATTAGATAGATTGATCTATGGAGACAAATCAAAACAAAACTTGAAAAATGCTGAGAGTCCATTTACCATGAAATAGTAGCTATTTATAAGATTCTATGACTGTGTTTTACTTTGGAAATACAAGTATAATTAACCTGGTAGAAAAAAAGTCCTTTAAAATAGTATAATCTGCTTCTGTGGTTTTTGTCAAGCTGTTGCCATTCTTGGGTTTAATAGCTTTATTTTTTTTTTTTCTGTAGGATCCATGTCCCCTTTGTGATGAAGCTAAGGAAGCACTGGAACCTTATAAAAACAGGGTAATATAGTGCAGTGTGGCTTTGCGTATATGGAATGGATAGTGTTATGTGTATAAGGTATCTGGATCCTTTCTTTAGGAAAAGAGAGTAAATGATTTTTCACTTACATTTTCTTTCTCATTTTCAGAGAGAGAGATTTTAGTGCTAATTTCCATAAAAACTCTTTACCCCTAAGTGTTTTTCTCTGAGCAGTACTGTTTTCCTTGCTCTTAATGTGAGTCCAAGTTAAATATCAGGTGCAGTATTGAAGCTTTTTCAAAACTTTTGTCTCTGTGCTTTTTCTCTTATTTTGTCATTTCCATGGAAGTGTTCTTTTGTAATAAACCATGACCCCTTTCCCATTTTTAAAACCAAAACATGTCTTTCCTGATTTTCAGGAAGCTTCCCAGTTGGGACCTGTTTTATTTCATTGGGAACTGAGCAGTGCCTGGACGCTGAATGTAATAGGTATAACAGAAAAGTAGCAAAATCAGAGTCAGGGAATATAATGAAATCAATCAAGTTGTGGAAATCAGGGACATTAGATTACTTTGGACCTCACACAAACAACAATACCAACAACCTCTCAGCATGAGAACCAGTCTGGGGATCCGTTTGTCACTGCAGTTATTGCACCATTTCGTGTTCCTTAACTATAGAGCTTTAGTCTGTCTCTGCTTCAGTTTATTTTACAGGAGGTGGACATCACACTTCCAGAAAACTCTGCTTGGTACGAGAGGTATAAATTTGACATCCCTGTCTTTCATTTGAATGGCACGTTTCTGATGATGCATCGAGTAAACATCTCAAAACTTGAAAAACAGCTCCAGAAACTTGAGCAGCAAGGTACTGGAGGCTGATGAAAGCCCTCGTGATTTTCCACCCTCGCTGTCCAAAAGGCATCTTCCTGAGGAAGTGACCTCGGCCTCATACTCCTTTTGTCACTGTCACACAGCCCTAACGAGGTTCTGAACTCAGTGGTGCCAAATAAATGTTGACATTTCTCTTCTGCTTGATGGAAGTACCAATGTGGGAACTGTTTACCTTTTGGCATTTTATAAAATAAGGGGAGTATATTGGCAGGGAGGGGATGGTGGAGGGTGGGAGAAATCTTTTGTATTAATGTGGAAACCTTTTACATTCTTTGGACAATGCGATTTATAGGAAGAAGGCTCTACATCCCGGCTGCTGCCCTGAGGGCTTAACTTTTTAATGAAAGAATAAACACTCTTCCTCTCAGTAGATAAAGTGAAATGTGAATTGTTAATAACTATGCACAGTCAATAAAGGGATGTTTTAACAAATACATCTGCATGAAGCCTATTTCGGTGGAATTTAATAATACCTGTTTAAAATTAGAGCTCATTTTTTTGGGTAGAAGAGAATAATTATCTCAGCCAAAGAGGCTTCACTTGAGAAAAACAAAAGGAAGATTTAAGCCTCCTAAAATGTATATAAGAATCTCAACATGCTTTGCACGTAGTCAGTGAATTGATTCGTAATGTTTGAGTACTGCCTTTGATAGTTTTTCAGTTATCATCCATGAGTTAATTAAGCTTATTATAAAACTGATTTTATTAGGTTTTAATGTCTTAGATAAATTTACTTCTGACTATAACGGGACAGATATGTCATCTAAAGACAAAATATTCTTTACCATTTTACATAGAGTATTAAAAATGTAGTTGTGGCCCTGGCCGGTTTGGCTCAGCGGTTAGGCTCTGGGCCTGCGGTCCAGAGAAAAATGTAGTTGTGTACTCTTATTTATATTTAGTCAGGTTCGGCCAATATAGAAGTGGGTTCATTTAAAAACAAAAATGCCATCCTGGCCAGTGTGGCTCAGTTGGTTGAGGGTAGTCCTGTGCACCCAAAGGTCACTGGTACCTGACCGGGTACATACCTAGGTTGCAGGTTCGATCAGTGTGTAGGAGGAGTGCAGGAGGCAGTCAATCAGTGTTTCTCTCTCCCTCCCTCTCCTTTCCTCTCTCTCTAAAATCAATAAAAATATATTTTGAAAAATAAAAATAATAAGCACAAAACTGCCTTTTCCTCTTAAAAATCACATCATTATAATGTCATCTATAATGAAATTCTTTTGTGAACTATTTTAATGAATTTGCACATTGTGAGTCCCATGGCTAGATTTAAATTTTATCTGTATGATTTAGTGTTAGAAATTATAGAATATTATCTAGTTGGCCAACCTTAGTCCCACCCCCCTCATCTTATATATCAGGAGGAGTCCGACATTCAGAGAGTTTCAGGGTCTTGGCCTGAGGCCACACAGTCAGCTGTCAGGCCGGGTCTTGCCACCCACTCTAAATTCCCAGCACTACCTGGGCTTGATTAGAGCATCCCCAACCATTCTGGATCCAACACAAATTAGGAAGTAACTTTATTATTATTTTTAAATTATTTTGCTTTTGCTCCCTTACCCGAGGATATTTTCTATTTATCATTAGATAGAGTGGGAGGGAGGGAGAGAGAGAGAGAGACAGACAGAAACATCAATGTGATAGAGCCATATCGACTGGTTGCCTCCCTCACGACCCAACCAAGGCCAGGGATGAACCGCAACTGAGGTACGTGCCCTTGACTGGAATCAAACCTGCGGCTCATTCGTCTGTGGGCCAATGCTCTAACCACTTCTATATTGACTGGCCAGGGCAGGAAGTAACTTTAAAAGCCTTCCAAGACAAGAGAAAAAAAAATCTTACAATTGAGTAGCAGTGTTTATAATTTCCATATTTCTGGGACATAGCTTATTTGATTCTACAAGTATTCATTGAGCTCTGTGGTGGCCAAAATTCACCTCAGTGAACCTCATCCTGTATTCCCTCCCCTTTGAGTGTGGGTGGAAGTCATGAATATGATGAAATATCACTGCTGTGATTATATTACACTGTGTGGCAAAAGTACATTATCCTAATTGGGCCTAACCTAATCAGGTGAGCCCTTTATTTATTATTATTTTTTTAATCCTCACCTGAGGATATTTTTTCATTTCATTTTCAGATAGAGTGAGAGGGAGAGAGAGAGAGAGAGAGAGAAACACTGACGTGAGAGGGACACATCAACTGGTTGCCTCCCATGACCCCGACCAGGGCCAGGGACTGAACTGCAACTGAGGTACATGCCCTTGACCGGAATTGAACTCGAGACTCTTTGGTCCATGGGCCAACGCTCTAATCACTGAGCCAAACTGGCCAGGGGTCAGGTGAGCCCTTTAAAAGCAGAGAAATCTCTCTGGCTTATCATAGATGAGGAAATAAAAGCAACATGTTCCAGCCTGCATGGAAGAAAGTAAACAGGAGTGTTGTGAACTGCCTCGTGGGGTCACATGGCAAGAGACTGTGGGCAGCCTCTAGCAGCTGAGAGCAGTTCTTGGCCAAAAGCTAGCAAGAAACTGGGGATATCAGTCCTACAGCTTCAAGAAATTAATTCTGTCAACAGTCAGGGAGTCAGGAAGAGGATCCCGAGCTCCATATGAGAATCATGGCTCTGGCCAACACCTTGATTTCAGCTCAGTGAGACTCTGATCAGAGAATCTAGTCACACCCCGCCTAGACTTCTGACCTTCAGAAACTGTGAAATAGTAAATGTGTGTTTCAAGCTGCTAAGTTTACGGTAACTTGTTACACAGCAATAGAAATCCCTATAACACTGAAGCACAATCGTAGGTGGCAGAAGTACAGGAATAAATAAGGTAATGTCCTTGTCTTAGAGACACTCACTGTCTCTTGGGGAGCAGGGAGAGGCAAGTTAATAAAGCACTACAAGTGTGCCATGAGGGCGGAATGGGACATGTAACAAGTGGTACAGCAGCCAGATGGCGAAAGTGGCAGGAAGGCTTCACAGAAAACTAGATTTAAACTAGGTCTTGATGGCCGAGGAGAAGCGGTGGGAGGGGGTTGAGAGAGGAGGGCATCCCGTCCTGAATGAGTAGCACGTGAAGAAGGAAAGCGTGTGCAGGGCAGGGCGCAGTAAGAAAACGGCAGGGGATTTTGTGTGGCTGTAGTGGGGAGAGGGGAGTGAATGAGATGGGACTGACAGGGTTGATGAGGGTCCACCTTGGAAGCACCTCAGGACAGGTGTGATGTTTTCCCCGTCGTGGTGTCCTCCCTGGTTTCCCGGCCTCATCCAGAGTCAGCCCTCTGGTTCTTGATTCCTCGGCCATATCTGGCCTCTCGGCTCCAGGCTTTCCCGGTCCCTCCTGGTGATGTCTCAGTAGCACGCTTAACTCAGTAGTCCCCTTGAGTAGCCCTGCAGGACATTCCCATTTTCAACACAGCTGCGGAGAGGCGGCCACAGAGATCGCCTGCCTGTGTGTCTGGGCACCCTGTGTTCCTTCCTCCTTACTCCAGGCAGTGCGAGGGCTATGTGGCCTGTGGCCTAGGGTGGCTCATCCTCCTGCGCCATCAGTTGGAAAAGTTCCAAGATTTTCAAGATCTGCTGGGCTAAGAGAGGGGATCCACTGATTACCTCCAGAAAGCTGGCTGGCCAGAGACCCTGAAGTTTGTTCTTTTGTAGTACTTGCCCAATTATAACCATGGTGTACAGGAAGTGTGAGGACTTAATCCAAACAACAAATTTCTGACCTTAGAATTTTAAACAAGTGAAAAAAACCCATTATACTTACAGGTATTAAAACTAAAGTGTTGCCTGAAGCACCAAAACAAAATAGGAGCTACATCCCAAAGGAAATACTAGATTACATAGGATTGCTGGAGATGGGAGAGAGTATATCTGAAGAATTTATAAATGTATGTTTGTTTGTTTATTTATTTTTATTGGAGAATTTTTTTTTTTTTTTAAGGAAAGTTGTGTTCTTAGTTCCTACCAAAGTAAATAGTTGGGGTCGCCTAATGTCAAGAGAAAGAGACAAAAGTAGGACCCATCAGACAGCTTAATATATGTCCCTGAGTAGGGAGAACACAGTGGTCCAGCTCCCTTCTGGGAAGTCATGTGAAAGATGAGCTAGCAAGACACTTTGGGTGCAGATGGAAGGGGAGCTACTGTTGCTCTGAGTGTGTCCTAGGGAAGGATGTGTGTGTGGATTTCTTTACAGATCAGATCTAGTTCAACCATGAGCAAGGGCTGGCGGGGGGGAACATTAGGTGCAGCCAGGCCTTAGAAGGGGGACGCAGAGGGAAAACACTAGGTTCCTAGGGGCCGGGGAAGTAAGTGGCTGTTCACATGGAGAACACATTTGCCTGAATCCAGGGACCTGCTGCTGAGACATCACCAGCTATGAGTTCAATCTCCCAAGAACCCACAAAAGCCCCTATGAAATCTGGTCTGCTTTAAATGTTTTTCAGGCCCAGAAAGCTGGAGGACATCTTAGCACCTTTCACCAGACAACATGCCTGCCTCTCCCCCTTCCCCGCCCTTCCCCCATCCCAACCCTAGAAGAATCAGAAGCTGCCAGGAGCAAGGACATAAAGACCTTTCCCTTCTAGACCTTCCCACCTGCACATGGCTTATCACGGGGATAAGAGTAAGACCTCGTTTTAAACCAAGTTCTAAGTTTTGACTATGACATAGGAAAAGACACAAAAACGCAACTTAAAGTGACCATGGGAGTTTCTATTGCTTGAAAATGCTCAAAAGAGTCCTGACACTACCTGGTTTTAATTTTATCCTAAAAAGAGTGGGAAATTCCCCACTGAATACATTTTATAAAGAGACATAAATAAAGATGCTGTCTGATTATATTCCATATTCAGAGTATTAATTACAAGTGCCTAATGTTTCTTACCTATAAATCTTTAATAAATTTCCTTATTAATTCTTATTTGAGAGAGTACTATGGGCATGTGACTAAGAGTCCTAGAGACCTTCAGCTGTCCCTCTGGTCCCAAGAGCTGGCAGATCAAGAGCCAGCTGTCTAGAAACAGCATCTAGAAGGTGGTTTGATCACACCACCATTGATAAGCATCAGACAATGTTTTGTCACTTATTATAGCCATTTTCATATGATATTTTTAGCAGCAATTACTTTTTATTTCTGAACTTAAGTGTGCAGCGATTGATCTGATTTTACATAAAGACTGGTTTTGACACAAAAGACTCATCATAATATTCTTCCGCTTCCAAAGGAAATATTGATATAACATTTCCTTCCCTTTTTTGCCTAAGCTGATTCTGTAAAAGGACTGGACTAAGCATTGAACTTGGGAGTGCACATTGCTGCTCCTGGTTTCAGGGCTGCTTTCTCCCAGATGTCTGATCAGAAGTCTAAGGACTTGGTGCAGCATGTAACTCTTCGGCCAGTTTATCGCAGGAAGCAGAGGTTTGCTCAGACTAGGGTTGTTTTGTTTGTTTATAATAATGCAGCAACTCATGGAAGTCTGACAGTAGGAATCACAGTAGGGCCAGGCCTCCAGAAGTATTCTTTTTTTTTTTTTATCCTCACCTGGGGACATTTTTTTTTTTTTTTTTGCATTTATCTTCAGATAAAGTGAGAGGGAGAAAGGGAGGGAGATGAGGTGGAAGAGAGGGAGAGAGAAATATCGATGTGAGAGAGACACATCGAGTGGTTGCCACCCACACGACCCCAACCGGGGCCAAAGACAAACTGCAAAGGACGTACATGCCCTTAGTGGGAACCGAACCTGGGTCTCTCTGGTCCGCAGGCCAACGCTCCAGCCGCTGAGCCAAACTGGCCAGGGCCGGAAGTATTCTTAAGGAACCACAGAAACTGAATCAGAACCCTTCTCCCTTTGCCTCAGCTTCTTTCCTTCCCTCTTCTCTCCTGGCTCACCGGCTCCCCTGCTCACTCACAGGATCTGCCTCCGAACCGCAGCGTGCCCTTGCCCATCGTCCCTGCTGACCCTTCCGTACGTGGATGGTCTGAGACTCTCAGCTTCTCTATTCTGAAATCCCAAAAGAGGAGTTTCCCTCAGCTAGTTTTTACAACCAGTCACACAAGCCTATGGGAAGGACCACCACTGGGTCAGGTGCTCATCCCTGGCCCAATCAACTATAGGGACCAAGATCATTTGGTATGCAAATCACAGTCACCGCCCACTCAGCAGAGACTGAAAGCATGCCTGGCAATAATCAGTAGCTCTGGCAAACATTCAAGAAATTTAACAGCATGTCATTCTACCATATTCAAAAGTTCATTTATATCCTACTCATGGGAGTGATGAGGACTTGAGCCAAGGAAATGGGAGTTAGAAAAAAATATTGGGAGATTTTTGGGAATAAGGTTGACAAAACTTCATGACTGACTGGAAGGGTTGAGGGAAGAGTGGGTAGAAAGAAAGCATGGAGTCTGAGATGACTCCGTCTTCTTGCTCTGGCTATGGGGTAAATCCTGGTACTTACTAATATTGAAACAGAGAGCATGGGAGGAAGGGAAGGTTAGCTTTTGGTAGTGTTTGGTGGATGGGAAAGATGGGACATGGGGAATCTGCCATGCTCATGGGACATCCAAGTAAAGATTAAAGTTGGAAGTTCAAATCAGAGGTCTGGGCATGAGGTGCGAATTTGAGAGCCCTCAGAATATGGCTGGGACTGCATCCATCTGGCATATGAAGAGAAAAGCAGGCTGGGACTAAGCCCTGGAAAATACCAATCTTGACCACATGAGTAGAGTAAGGACCAATGGAGGAAATGGGAGTGAAAGGTGGTAGAACTAGAAGTGGGAAAAGTTCATCCAATTTCTATTATTTGATACCTATTGTTATTTTATAGCACTAGGACTATTCTAAGCCCTGAGAATAAAGCAGTAAACAAGATAGCCAAGGTTTCTACTCAGGGGCTTGCCTTCTAGAAAGAGATAGACAGACAATAAAAATATTAATAGAAAATAACCTATATCTTGAAGTCAGAGGAGTTTTTCTCCAAGTAACTGACAGTATCAAATGTCAAGAGTTGGATGAGGACTAAAAAGAAGACATTGGATTGATCGATTGATTAATTGATTGGTTTGAGAGGCCATTTGATTTAAAAATCAGGATATCAATGCAGTGTTAGACTGAATCACAGTTCCTAAAGCTATCTAGTTTCTAATCCCTGGAACATGTGAATGTCACTTTACATGCCAAAGGGACTTTGCAGATGTAGTTAAGAATCTAGAGATGAAGAAATTATCATGAATTATCCAGGTATGTCCTAAATGTAACCACAAGTGTCCTTATAAGAGGGAAATTTGACTCCAGAAGAGAAAGCAGGAGATGTGACAATGGAAGCAAGGTTGTCACATCTCGCTTGATTGGAGTGATATATGAAAGGGGTTGTGGGCCAAGAAATGCAAGTGGCCTCCAGAAACCAGAAAATATATTTTTTAAAAAAGAGAGAGAGAGAGAGAGAGATTCCCTAGAGCTTCCGAAGGAATAAGACCTGCTGACATCTTGACTTCAGCCCAGTGAAACTAATTTCAGACTTCTGGCCTACAGAATTGTAAGAAATTAAACCTGTGTTGTTTTAAGCCACAAAGTTTGTACTAATTTGTTACAGTTTCAACAGAAAACTGATACAAATGGTAACTTGACCTTATTGAGGACAATTTTGGTAGGGAGAGGGAAGAAGATGCAGACTAAAAAATTCCACACACTTGGATAGCCTGGCCAGAATGGCTTAGTTGGTTAAGCATCATCCTATGGACTGAAAGGTTGCTGGTTTAATTCCTGGTCAGGGCACATACCTGGGTTGCAGATTTGATCCCCAGTCAGGGAGCATACAGGAGGAATTGATGTTTTTCTCTCTCTGGACCTCCCTCCCTCTCTCCCTTCCTCTCTCTAAGCATGTCCCTCTCTCTAAGCTTGTCCTCAGGTGAAGTTTTTTGTTTTTCTGTTTTTAATGCATAATATAGCCCTGGCTAGTTTGGCTCAGCAGTTAGAGTGTCAGCCCACGGACCAAAGAGTCACGGGTTTGATTCTGGTCAAGGGCACATACCTCTGTTGCTATTTGGTCCCCAGTCCTGTCTAGGGTCATACGGGAAGCAACCAGTTGATGTGTCTCTCTCACATTGATGGTTCTCTCTCTCTCTCTGTTCTCTCTCCCTCCCTATCTCTCCCTCTCCCACTCTATCTGAAGATAAATGGAAAAGTATCCTCAGGTGAGGATTTTAATTTTAAAATGCGTAATATAAAATATATAGAAATGCATTTGGATAATGAGAAGTTCAGAAGAGAGCAGGCTATCCACCTTGTTTAACCATCTAAGAAAAAACATCAGAGAGAAGAGCTGAAGACCTGATTAATCGACAGCTCAATACCCCCAAATGCAAGCAGTGTGGGAAATACCACAACCTTCAGCCTATCTTAGAAGAACTAAGCAACGGGGCTGCAGAATTCAGAAGAGTCCAGAGCAAGTCTGACACTGGAGAGTAAACCATGCCAACCCATTCTAGTCTACAGACACACACACCAGACCCCAAGCTCTTTCTCACCAGAGACTAGAATACTTTAATACTGTGGCCCCAAATCCTGCACCTGAAATAGATCTGATATCTCTTCATTCATGCCAACCATTGAGGGGGAGCCAACAGAGAATGGCTTTATTTGGCCAGTCTTTAATTTAGGCACTGTTGTTTTAAATTTTACCACCCTTCTCAAGTTCAAAAAGGATAACTACTGAAGCCCTGGCTAGATAGCTCAGTTGGTTAAAGCATCGTCCCAATACACCAAGGTTGTGGGTTTGATCCCTGGTCAGGGCACATACAAAAAGCAACCAATGAATGCATAAATGGGTGAAACAATGGATCTCTCTCCTCCTTCCCCTCCCCCTCCTCCTTCTCCTCTTCTCTCTCTCATGCTCTCTCTCTCAAATAAATAAATAAACAAACATTTTTTTAAATAAAAAAAATTTTTTTTTCAATCCTCACCCTAGGACATTTTTGCATTTATCTTCAGATAGAGCAGGAGGGAGAGGGGGAGAAAGAGAGAGAGAGAGACATCGATGTGAGAGAGACACATCGAGTGGTTGCCACCCACACGACCCAACCAGGGCCAGGGACAAACTGCAACCAAGGTATGTGCCCTTAGCGGGAACCAAACCTGGGACTCTCCGGTCCACAGGCCAACGCTCTAACCACTGAGCCAAACCGGCCAGGGCTAAATAAAAATTTTAAAAAAGGATAACTACCAAAGTTAAACTTTTTTTTTTTTTTTTTTTTTTTTTTTTTATCCTCACCCAAGGACATTTTTCCATTTTTTGTTCAGATAGAGCGGGAGGGAGAGAGAGGAAGAGAGAGAGAGCGAAACATCGATGTGAAGGGACACATCGAGTCGCTGCCACCCGCATGACCAACCAGGGCCGGGGACAAACTGCAACCAAGGTACGTGCCCTTAGCGGGAACCGAACCCGGGTCTCTCAGTACCACAGGCCGATGATCCAACCGCTGCGCCAAACCGGCCAGGGCCCAAAGTTAAACTATTGCTGAGTTCTAAAATCTAGAAGGGCATAAAGCTTTGGGGAAAGGGGGAAGTATTAAAATAATACAACAGCTCATAGGAGCA